TTTATAGTTTACAGTTAGCTATAGTGTTTGGTCACAACCAACTGACACTGTGTCAGTAATGCAGCCACTTCCTCTGTGTGTGTCTGTCTCACCCTGCAGGGCTGGAGTCGGACACTGGGTGGAGCTGCATGGTCAGCTCTCCCAGCTTGGTGAAAGCTGCGCCAGCTGCTGAGAAGATCTCGCCCACCTGCAGGAAACACAGCCATCAATGCTCCGATTTAAACGGTGACCGTAGACATGATCTACGCTGCACACCACCTTTAACTGCACACTCAGGTGCTACACCACCAGCTGTGTTTCCCTCACTGTAAACATGGAGCCCTATCACAACCTGGATCAGGTGTGCACCACATACATATACACTCATTCACTGCATTTCTAAACAATCTGAGGAAAAAGTGAAGCACAAAGCAGATTTACTCTGAGCTGAAACAGTGAGCTGATTTATCAGGACTCTCTGCAGTACAGTCAGTGCGATGTGTGGCTGCAGCTGAAAGCTGTTTCTGGTTCATCATTTGTCACTTTTAACACATCTTGCTGTCATGGTGAGGCGATAGTACCGCACTGCTTCTAATCAACTGGATTTCTGCGCAAAAATAAAAAAAGCTCTGGGTGTTCAATATGTGCCGAATTTGCCTCTACTTTTTATAATTTAGGGGTGAAAAGATATTTAAAGTATATTTCATGAAGCTCTTCTTCATGATGCAGCAACTGAATTAAATTGAGTTATGTGTGCAGCTACATGACCGGTTCTCTACAAGTTGGCTGTTAAGCTCAATTTTTGCACTTACGTAAAAGAAAAAAAAACATAAGCAGGTGAAAGCTTACCTTAGCAGAGGCTGACGTCATTTCTGAGCCTCAGGTGAAAAAAATATTATTTTGAAACAAACGGTAGCTAGCTGTTAGCTACAATTAGCTCCTATGAGCTTAGCTAGCTGACTTCCGTTAGCGGGATTCCCAAGATTTAAGATCCTAAACTCGCGAAGCTGTGCGGGACTCGCGTCCGATGAGAAGTTGCGGTTTAATTTGGTCATTTATGAATTACATATTCAGAAAGAAAAATTATAAATATCACAACAAAGACAAACGGGAAACAGAGAATGATGCGCGACTTTGCAACTTAAACGCCATTGGCCAATTTGACAGGAAAAGGCGGAGTGTATGGGCACAGGATATTTCATTGGTCGCTGGCCTGCGGCTTACGAACAGTACCGACATTCGCCGAATAAAGCCGAGCGGTGAGATCAGCTGACCGAGAGGCTTCGTTTTTCGATGGGTCCTCTTTCAGTTTAGAGTATAATAATAGTAATAATAATAATAATAATCTTTTGATCGATCAAAGGGACGCGGACATGCCGTCGCTGCTGTTCTGCGGGCCGAAGATGGCCGCGTGCGGGATCGTGATCAGCATCTGGGGCGTCATCATGCTGGTAAGATCACGAAGGGACCGACTATTTCCTGGAAGGCTAAGGAACTACCAGTGGGGACTCTGTATTTGGATTAAATATAATGTTATTGTGAGCAATTTCTTGCTGCTAATTTTATTCGAAGTTGGTAAAACTCTCAACGCATTTCAACGCTGACTGGCTAATCACTGAATTCCAGTACTTCTCGGGTACATAGACGGAGCCCGCGTAGGCCGATCTGAATGTAGTTCTGCTGGTTTCACCCTCCTTGACCTCCTAAGACCCGAACTCTTCCATGGCATGGATTTTTAATTTCTCTTTGAAATTTGGGCTAATTGGGACCTGATGAATGTAAAAACAAAGAATCGCGAGATTTGTTTATTCTTTTACCTGAATTCTGTTTCTAAGAAAAATGAGAGCCACATATGAGGATATTCGTTTAAAATTTTGATAAAACAGTAGCAGCATAATGTCCTCCCAGCCCATTGTTCCTTCAGTGGGCTGGTTTCAGTCATTATGCAAATGTCCTGTTTGTAAGAGTAATGTTTATAACTTTCCTGGATGACTGAGAATGCATCAACACATTTTGCGACTCATTTTATTTCTGTCTGATAAGAAAACTATTCAATCAGATATTTCATTCACCACAAATAACTACAGTTACACTTTCAAGCACTTTTAAGCACCACATCTGAAATTCAAGCACTTTTCAAACCTTGAAAAGACAATATTAAAATTCAAGCATTTACAAGGATCTCAAGCACCTGTACGAACCCTGTTTAAAGGTTCTGAGGTCTCAGGTCTGTCAGTTAAAATATTTAGCAGATCACTTCCTGCTTTTCTTATCAGAATAAATCCTCGGTTGAAGCAGTGAACAGAAAACATTTAAACTCAGTGACGAGGTTCGATTCATAGCTGTGGCCCTGACGGGTCCCCGAGCCTCATGTTGACCCCGTGTCTTGCTCTCTTGCAGGCGATGTTGGGAATCTTCTTCAGCGCCAAGTCAGCCGTGCTGATCGAAGACGTCCCGTTCACCGAGGATGACATCCATAACGAGTGAGTTGGGGGTTAAAAGCTGCTCGGTCGGTTCGACCCGAGCTTGAGACGCTGCGACGCGTCTGACCGATGACAAACAGCAGATAAACTCGTCTTCTCCTTTTTTTCCCCGCAGTAAAAATCCCCCTCAGAACATCTACAGTCTCTACAACCAGGTCGGCATCAACTGCTTCATCGCCGCTGCCGTCTACGTGGTGGTGGGCGCCATCTCGCTCTGCCAGGTCCGACTCAACAAGCGGCAGGAGTACATGGTGACATAAAGACCTGCGGCGATGGCCTGACCTTTGACCTCGAGCACCTGGTTCCTGTCCATAAAGTTTATTTATATCTCAACGCTGGAAAATCTGATTGGCTAAGATTAAAAAGGGGGCGGGGTCAGGTATCACCTGGATTATTTATTTTGTATTTACGTGTTTGTTGTTGTTGTTGTTGTTGTTGTTGTTGTTGTTGTTGTTGTTGTTGTTGGGTGAATTGTTGTTTCATTCCTTTCCGTTGGACATGAAAGTGACCAAAAGTGTGAAACACTCACGTCTGCTCGCCACATTAATCACATTAACAAGGAAACGGGGGGGCGGAGCCCCGAGGATGCCTCCACCATCAGCTGAGGCGGTTTTATCGTGTCACAAGAACAAAGATGAAGGCGTCGCTCGGGCGTCCTCTGCTCGAACAGATCGGAGGACACGAGGCGGTGCTGTGTCTCTGATGTGGGTCTGTGTTTGCTGGAACATCGTTTGCAATAAAGTGTGTGAGTGGAAAACTACAGGGAGTCGTCTTCATTTCAGTTACTGTGGAAAAATGTTCCTCATGGATTTAAATGGGGTTCGTTTTGTTTGGTTTGGTTTTAATTATGAAAGTAAAATTTTTAAGAAACCTCTTCTGTGTTGATCTTTAGTTTAAATTATATATTTTTACTGGAGTATTTTCAGAATTTGCTTCAGAACAATCTTTAGTTGCCATTAGTTCACATTTTTTGATGCTAAGATGGAGACCCTCACCGTCTCTTCTCCCCTTTGGTTTTCTTTCTCTCCCTCTCTTTCTTTCATTCTCTCTCCCTGTCCTATCCCCCAGTCATGTCTGTCCCGTTTGTAGCAACTGAAAATAAAATAAATTCATAATTATAATAAAGGTCAATCAAATGGACCAATATGGCAAGGCCATGATGATCCACTTGGTAAAATAAATCCGCTTGGCATCTTTCTTGGCCTTAAGACAACAATTCTGATGGCTAAAGATCCAAACGGGACACAAAAAAAAAAAAAAATAAAAAGAAAAAATCTATTCTAAACTTCTGACTCATCAGTAAGCGCCTTTGGCAGATATAACAGCTGAACACACCGTGGTTCTTCTACAAGAAATCAAATCTTCTCCCATATCTGTTACAGAAGTTCATAAATGTGGACACTTGTAGTGCTTGTGCTTTCACTCTTCTGTCTAGTTCATCCCAAACCGCACAGTGGCAAAAGCAGAATTTTTTTTTAAATATTTATATATATTATAAAAAAAACCCAGCACGCCCCTGCGGGCGGTTTATCCTTCAAGCTCGGGTCCTCTACCAGAGGCCTGGGAGCTTGAGGGTCCTGCAGTATCTTAGCTGTTCCCAGGACTGCGCTCTTCTGGACAGAGATCTCCGATGTTGTTCCCGGGATCTGCTGGAGCCCACTCGCCTAGCTTGGGACCACAGTGTTGTTCCTGTGCAGCAGTTTTCCTTGTTGCTGGCTTTCAAAAATGACAGTTTTGATTTTCAAATGACTCATCAACCAGACCAGCCAATCAGTGGCTTGCAATCTGTTGACATCACATTTTCCAGATGGCCTTGGATTGTTTAGAAACCGCGGCGGAGTTGGTACTAAAAGGTACCTGGTACCATAACCTGCAAAATGGAAAACTTAGCGTGCCGAGCCGAGCCAAGTAGGTACTAGTCGAAAAAGGCTGTGAGTGAAGGTGCCTATCAGAGTGTGAACGTTACCATGAAATCTGATCGGGGCTGAAACTGATTCTGTTTTCTAAGGAGCTGTTTTGTTGTAGTCGTGAAGAGAGAGACCACATCACAGGACACGGTGGTTTCATCTGGGTCCAGTGCAAGTTTGTGGATCTCGTTGGTGAAATCATTGGAGGTTTTGATGTGATGGGATGTGTTCTCACAAATGGAAGTAAAGTGATGATAAGGTGCTGGGAAACTTTGTAGGTGACAGAGTTTATACTGTTAATTAACAGTGGGTCTGAGTGGGACCGCTTCTTTGTGGATCTTTGGAAGTCCATATATACGGGGTGTAACCTCTCTCCTTGTAGTTGCTGAAGGCAGATTATGACTTTCTTACCAACGTGCTTAAATTATGTATTATTTATAAAGCTGCTGCAGATGGTAAATGGTAAATGGCCTGTATTTATATAGCGCTTTTCTAGTCCCTAAGGACCCCAAAGCGCTTTACATATCCAGTCATCCACCCATTCACACACACATTCACACACTGGTGATGGCAGCTACATTGTAGCCACAGCCACCCTGGGGCGCACTGACAGAGGCGAGGCTGCCGGACACTGGCGCCACCGGGCCCTCTGACCACCACCAGTAGGCAACGGGTGAAGTGTCTTGCCCAAGGACACAACGACCAAGACTGTCCAAGCCGGGGTGGATGCAGATGCAGATGCAGAGTTACATGTGAACAGACTGAACAGTAATCACTGCCAGTGTTTTTACGTTTGCTCTGTGTAGGTATGAAAGAAACAGACTTTATGTTGACTGACTCTTCAGTGAAAACCTGGCACACACATGCTCTCACAAGTTGGATTCATTTCTGTTTCAGGAAACAAGAGGAAACGCAGTGAAACTGAATCGGAGTCAGCAGAGAAAACGGCTGAAGCTGGTAGGCAAACACACCCTGAAACTGTGGCAGAGCCACTGAGCTGTGGCCACAATCATGAGAATAAATATTTTATTTGATGTAAGTCTGATGTTGAGCTGTGTGTGTTCAGGCTTTAAGAAGAACAACATTGTGAGTGATTCAAGTTCAGATGAAGAGCGAGAGGCTGAAACTGGTAAGTGCTGGAGGAAACAGTGCTGCTTTCCATCTCAAGAGCTAACTATCCAACACACAGTGATGTCATTTGTTTAAAATGCTCAGTATAAATTTTTTAGATCCATTTCAATTCAGTTTATTTATACAGCACCAAATCACAATGAGTTGTATCAAAGGACTTTATATTGTAGTGTAAAGGCCCTACAATAATACAGAGAAAACCCCAACAATTACATGAAACTCTATGAGCAAGTGGTTGGCAATAGTGGGAAGGAGGGCATCTGCTGAGACCAGTTTGGCTGAGGGGGGAGATTGAGAAACAACACGCTGTGCATGAGGCCAGAGATTAATAAGAACTAATAGTTAAATGCAGAGAGGTCTATTGACACATAGTGAGTGAAGGAAAAACTCAATGCATCATGGGAATCCCCGGCAGCCTACGTCTATTGCAGCATAACTAAGGGAGGATTCAGGGTCACCTGGTCCAGCCCTAACTATATGCTTTAGCAAAAAGGAAAGTTTGAAGCCTAATCTTGAAAGTAGAGATAGTGTCTGTCTCCTGAATCCAAACTGGAAGCTGGTTCCACAGAAGAGGGGCCTGAAAACTGAAGGCTCTGCCTCCCATTCTACTTTTAAATACTCGTACAGGAACCGGTACAAACAGGCTGCAGCCTGACTGTTACCTGTTAAAGTTCGGCTCTGGCTGCTGGACTGGAGTCTGCATACGCTCACCTTTGACGTGACTCTGGGTGTTTGACTAGCTTAGCATTAGCATGCTGTCTGCTTGTAAAGAGCCGGCGTTCTGTTAGCAGCATCACGCAGCTGTTTCTGTCCTGGATGCATTTTACACTTTACCTTTGTGCTTTTGTCATTTTACTTTCTTTTACAGATGGACTGAAGAGCCCTCAGCCTGACAAGGTACAAGTTGTGATTTTTTTCAAAGTTAATGTAATACTGCATGTCACATTACACCAAGTTTTACATAATTTTATTAACTTGTGGACATTTATGCTTTCTGTATGATC